CCCCACAAGCATCCTGCTGGCAGGGAAAACCCCTCCTCCTTGCCCTCAGTCTTCTCCCCACACACTCCAAAGAGCCATGGTACCCAGCCAGGCATCAGGCTGCCCAGGCTGCACTCAGACTGGTGTGACCGTGGTGCTCTCATGCTGCCTGTACCCCCACACTGCCTGTACCCTCACACTGCCCGTTCTCTCCCCAGTTCCAGCAGCCCAGCCGCTGGAGTTCGCCCAGTTCCCTTTCTACCTGAGTGGGCTGCGTCGCACGTCCGACTTCGTGGAGGCGATTGAGAGCGTGCGGGCCATCTGCCGGGAGGCCGCCCAGCGCCACGGCGTGCTGAGCTACCCCAGCGGATACCCCTTCCTCTTCTGGGAGCAGTACATCGGCCTGCGGCACTGGTTCCTGCTGGCCATCAGCATCCTGCTGGCCTGCACCTTCCTCGTCTGCGCCCTGCTGCTGCTCAACCCCTGGACAGCTGGCATCATCGTGAGTACGCACCCTGATGCATGGGGATGATCCTGAGGGGTGGGGTCAGGGGCATCCAGCCTTTCTCCCGTCCTGCTAAGTGGCCCTGGGTACCTGTGTCATGGGAATTGGGCGATGGGGTGGCCAGGGGCACCCTGGGGAGGAAGGGACACCCATATAGGGGTGGCAGTGGGTGGGGGACTCCTGTATGGAGGGGTCAGTTATATCACTGATGAAGGGAACATATGGAGGTACAGGGGGACCTAGGGACATCCATGAAGAAGGGGGTGATGGAAACACCCATATGGAGGTGGCAGTGAGGGGGGGACTAATATGGAGGGATTAGGGACACCTCTTAGGAAGGGAACGTGTGTAGTGGGCAGGAGTTTGAGGACATTTATGCAGAGTACGGTGAGGGCCACCCCCAATAGGTGGGACAGAGGGACACTCCAAATAGGGACTGGCTGGGATAGAAATATAGGGGGAACCCAAATAGAGGGAAAAGGGTCAGTGAGGTGAGGCTGTCCTATATGGAAAAGTAGCACCAAGCTTGCCAGGCAGAGGGGACAGCCAGTCAGAGCCACCCCTGACTGACAACATCACCCCTCAGGTGTCCATCCTGGCCATGATGGCTGTGGAGCTGTTTGGCATCATGGGGCTGATGGGCATCAAGCTGAGCGCCATCCCAGTGGTCATCCTCATCGCCTCGGTGGGCATCGGTGTGGAGTTCACTGTTCACGTGGCCCTGGTGAGCCCAGTTCCCACTCCCTGGCACCCTCACTCCCTTGGCCATATGCCAATGGGTGGCACACCATGGGTGGCACACAGGGACAAGCCCTGTGTGACATCCCCATCCCACTCAGGGCTTCCTGACAGCTGTGGGGAGCAGGAACGTGCGCTCGGCCGCGGCGCTGGAGCACACCTTTGCCCCCGTGATGGATGGTGCTGTCTCCACCCTCCTGGGTGTCCTCATGCTGGCCGGCTCCGAGTTTGACTTCATCATGAGGTGAGCACTGAAGGAGGGTAAACCAGCCACTTGCTGCCCTCCAAAAGCTTTGGTAAAGGGAGCTGGTGAGTGTGGCAGTTCCTCAGGCTGGTGGTGGGGATGTGTGGCAGCTGCTGAGGATGTGTCTTGCTGGGGACACCCGTTCCATCTTGCATGGAGACTGGGGAGACACCGCGGGGCCAGGGCATGTGGCATGGAAAGCCATGTTTGGGGTGGGACGTGATTCATGATGCCTGTGCCTGCTTACCCCTTCTGCCTGTGACCCCCAGGTACTTCTTTGCGGTGCTGACCATCCTGACGCTGCTGGGGCTGCTCAACGGGCTGGTGCTGCTGCCCGTCCTGCTCTCTGTCGTCGGGCCACCCCCTGAGGTACAAAACCCCCCATCCTGCCTATCTTTGGCCCTCCCCAACCCCGTACCCACCCCTCTCCATCCCCCATTGCTCCTCACCCTGTCCCCCTTTCACCCTGTCCCCATGCTTGCCTTTTTCAGTCCCAGCCTTGTCTCATATTCACTTGAGTCCTTCCATCACCCTGTACCATCCTTTCTCTGACCCATATCCAATTTGCCTCTACCTGACCCTATTCCTCCCTCACCCCACACTCAACTTCCCCCATCTCTCCCTGACCCATTTGATCCCATCCCTGCTTCACCTGGAATCACCTGTGTCCCCATCCTCACATCACCTCTACTTCTCCACATTCTTCCATCTTTGTATATCTCCAGCTCCTCCAACACTGTCTTCTCTCCCCAGGCATCCCTAGTGGATAATGGCCCCTGCCTAACCCCATCAGAGTCGGTGCCCCCATGCCTGGGCCCTGGAGGGCTGTATGTCCGGCGTGCTCCAGCCTGGCCTGCCACCTTCACTGAGCCCTCGGACACGGAGCACTACACAGACGGTGTGGGGCCAGGCAACCCCCGGGGACCCTTCATTGTGCCCCCCACCCCAGCACACATCCTACTGGAGGCTGGCAAGGACCCCAGCTTCCCCCGCATCACCGTGAGTGTCTCTGCCCGCTGTGGCATCGCCAGCTCCCCTGCATCCCCTGGGAGAGGGTCTGGGGCATGGGTGCCCATGTTGGTGCTGGTGGTGTTGCTGGAGGAATGCTCAGTATGACTGGGGACCCTCATGCTTCATGTTCCCCCTCCAGGTGCTGAAGCCCTACAAGGACAGCCTGGAGGTTCAGGGGAAGAAGGAGGCTTCTGGCCCGCAGCCTGCACCCACCCTGCCCTTTGGGGAGCCGTGCCCCACACTGCCCCGAGAACACCTACAGCCCTGCCCGCCAGGCACCCGGCCAGCCCCCACCGCAGCCCTGCCCACCTACAGCACCCACCTGCAGGGTCCTGCTGGCAGCTACACCACCGTCACAGCCACTGCGTCGGTGACGGTGGCCCTGCACCCCACACTGCCTGGCTCCTACCCCACCTTCAGCCCTGAGGGCTTCGCCAGCAGCGAGCGGGACTGCCTGGACGAGCCCAGTGTGCCCAGTACCAGCGGCACCGCCGTGCCCGATGCCTTTGAGATGCAGAGCATGGGACACCACGGGGCAGGTGCCCAGCGCTAGGTGAGCGTGGGGACACCCCACCCTGGGACTGATGCACGGCAGAGTGGGGGTGTGAGGTGTGTGTGGAGGGACCCAGCTGACCCTCCAAATCTCTCTCTCTCTCTCTGCAGGTTGCTGGTTCCTGGGCAGAGCATCTCCCCAGCACCCGGTGGGCACAGGAGGGTGCAGAGCGGGGTCGCCCGCGTTGTGCTGCTAATGGCCAGAGCGATCTCGGCCGAGGAGGACCGGCCCCCCTGCACCCTGCAACAGGGCTTGGTAGGGCAGGCTGGCACTTCTATGCAAGCTGTGTGCAGGCCACGCCGTGCCCGCGTGTCCCTCACCCGAGGCTGTGCCGTTGGTGCCATGTCCTGTCACCCAGGGTTTGGGGTTATCCCGCCCTGGACTTGTTGCCCCCCAGAAATGGAAGCACTAACTCCCCCCTCTGTTTCTGGAGCTGCTGGCAAGGTGGACTTGGTGCCATGCCAGCTCCCCCTCTGTGGGGTCACTGCTTGCTCCCTATCACCTCCTCCTGGGACCACCCATCCCAGGCCATGAGCTGGGGTACCCCAACAGGGTGCCCTGATGCCCCCCGTCCTGATAAAGGGGCAGTCCCAGAGCCAGCTGTGCCCTGGCATGCCACAGGCAAGGCCTGGGGCGGGCACCCCCCACCTTTATTTATTGCAAAGGGAAACTATCTATAGAGAGATATATATTTTTAAGCTTATTTTAAAAGATTTATTTCTCAGCCTACGGCCTTGCCCCGCTGCCCAGAGTGCAGGCAGGGAGCGGGCAGACCCTTTGCCAGTGCAGGGCTGCCCACTGGAGGCAGCAGGAGCCCAGGGGTGCAGACCTGGTTCATGCCCCCATTCCGTGGGCAGCTCACCGCCTCCGATGCGCTACTCCGTGCCTCAGTTTCCCCAGTGGCAAGCATGGAAGGGCTGGACATCATGGATGTGCCATGGTGGAGACAGGGAGACTGTTGCTCCCCACTGCACAGGCAGGATTTTGGAAGGGGGAGATCCTTGGAATGGTCCTTGCTGGGCCAAGCCCCTGAGCTGTCCCAGGGTCACGGCCCCTCGTGCCACACCCGTGCTCTGCCCAGGTGATGGCACGTGCTGGAGCACGCACAGGACAGTGCATGCTGACAGGACAGTGGGCTCCCGCGGTGCCACCGGGCACATCTTGCTGGGAAACCGTATTTCTCACCATGTCCCCGTGCAACG